TGGAATTCACTGCCACAGGAAGTGGTGGCGGCTACAAGCATGGACAGCTTCAAAAGGGAATTAGATAGGCATATGGAGCAGAGGTCCATCAGTGGCTATTAGCCACGAGGTATAGATAGGGGCTCTGGGGCAAGTGATGCTCTGTCTTCTTGGTGCTTGGGGGGGGGGCAACAGTGGGAGGGCTTCTAATGTCCTGGCCCCACTGGTGGACCTCCTGATGGCGCCTGGTAATTTTGGCCACTGTGTGACAGAGTGTTGGACTAGATGGGCCTTTGGCCTGATCCAACATTGGCGTCTCTTATGTTCTTATGAGAAAAATAAAAGAAGAAATTAAAACCAACCTTGACTGTAAAGAAGAAGGAAAAGAATTGATTGACTTTGGAACCTGTAGCCTTCATGTTCTGCATGGGTCTTTTAAAACAGGATTGCAAGTAGTGAAATAGGACCTGAATTCAGTCTTGCGAAACTTGTATTATCTGTTCAAAGATTCCCCAGCTAGGAGGGAATCATACACTGCTATGACTGGAAGCACACTATTTCTCCTGAAGTTTGCTCCACTAGGTGGTTGGAGAATGTTAAGTGCCTTGACAGAGCTATGACTGTTTTTGACAACATCAAGAAGTATGTGGAAGAAGCAAAACTCCCCCACAGTAAACCTGCAATTTGTATAAAAGCTGCAATGCAAGATCAACTCATGAAGTGCAAAATGGCTTTCATTAAAGCGATTGCTGGAGATTGTGAGCCTTTTCTACAAAGGTTTCAGAACCAAAACCATTGGCACCTTTTTTGGATGAAGAACTTTGTAAGCTAATCAAGAAGCTAATGAGTCGTTGCATAAAATTGGAAACGCTGCAAAACATGTCTTCTGGTTCCCAGTTAACAATTGACATGAATTTGTCTGAACTTGCTTGACAGAAGCAAGGTTGACATTGGCTTTGCAGCAAAGAAGCTGTTGAAAGAAACTAAACTGTGGAGGACTTGAATCTGTTGTAATTGAGAGGAATCTGTTGCAGCTCATGCACACTATACAGAACACTTGGAGGCTAAACACCATAAGCAACAAGAAGAAATTCAGAAGAAAGAGCAGTGGATTTTTGACCTGCCGCTGCAAGAGCATGATCTTGTGGCAAATGGAAGAGAAACAATTGATGAGAAACAAAAAGAGTTACAAAATAAAAAGGGAAGCCTATAGAAGTGTTAGTTTTATATCTTAACTCTTCATCCTTTAAAAAGAGATTACTTGTATTCTAATTTCTAACTAGATTATTACTGCCATTTCAAAAGTATAAGTTTCGTAATGTGGCTTCAGAGAAACCATTTTAGATAGAACATTTATATAATTTTTAGTGTACCTTTAAAACTAACTAAAATAAGCTTGCCAAGTCCCCCTGGGGGGCGGGGAAATCTGAGGGAAAACTATGGTTTTCCCTCGGATGGTTGTGGCTCCGCCCCCAGCGTGCCCGGCGTCGGCACATCACTTCCAGGTGACGTGCGTGCGGTGTGCGCGCACGCTACAGCCGCCAGCGGGGAATCCTCCGCTCCGGCGAAATTTTGACTTGGCAACCCTAAGCTAAAATGTTATGTCGTTTGTTAGCATTCAGAGTTACTTGAATTGAAGTTTGCATCTTGGTGTAATTTTTGGTGCAATTGCAAAACAGATGTTGCTGCAGTTAATGTTGAAAGAAACTGATGTTAAATCTCTTACTTTGACAAATATTTTTGCAGTTGAGACTTGTGTAGTTGTAGAGTAGAATGTTTCATTAAGCCTTGCATTAATGCAACACGACCTATTCATTTTTTAACTTGTGGTTATATTAGAATGGTGGTCAGGGAAATTGACAAATGTTGGTCAGGGAAATGAAAAATAAAATTTTAGTGGCAACCCTGTAATCAAAAGAGATTAAATCTGATTCTATTCCTTAGCAAGTTGCACTGTATTTTCAGGTCTATCAAATTAAGCCTTTGAGCAATCCAAATGTTTTAGAGAGAGCATACTCAGATTGCCTTAATTTCATTTCCAGTATTCATTCATGATGTGGTTCCAACTTCTTGAGCTCTCTTCTTCTGTTGCTTCCCACCCCACCATGTGTACTCTGCTCCCGAAGGTCCCCTCAAAACCAATACCTTAAAGGAAGATGAGAAAGACCTTGTCTGTTTCCTTCTCCCTCAGCAAGACAGCGGCATATTTATTCTAATTAGATCACATCCAGGATGCAGCCTATTTTATGAAATATGACAGTACAGTTACAAAAAGCAGAGCTCTATAGTCACTGCATTTTATTCATACTACAGCTAGCTAGAACCTATTCATGACTGTGTGGCCAGCATTACATATGCAGGATTGTTTAGAAATATCATTATTTATTCAGAAGTATACCACCAGGTTTTCCAATATCAAGGAGGTGAGAAAATCCAGATGAAATTTAAGACTGTAATCCTATGTAGTTGTGTGTGGAAGTATGTCACTTTTAATTAAGAGTATTACTGAGTAAACATGGGATTAGATGTGTTGATGTGTTGTTCCTTTCAGATCAGTTATCTGAAGAAGGTGATGACTCTAAAATGCCTGTTCAGCAAACCAATGCAGAGACTCATAATGGATTACGAGTAGTTTCCACTCGGAAATCAGCGGTTAGCGCAAAAAAAGGTAAAGAGAGGAATTAGCGTGCTTTAAATGTGAATTTCAGTATTCTTGTAACAAACCATACCACATCTTAGTGAATGTCCACAATTTTTTACTTTTGAGATGATGATGTACTGCTAATGTTGACTTGCTTGCATGCGCTTATTTCTATTGTTGGAAGATTTAAGAACAGGAAAAAATATACTGGTCCGTCTAACTCAGTATGATTTACTCTGACAGCAGCTTTCCAGGATCTCAGCAGAGAAAGAGGTACCTTGCCAGGGGGTACCTCACTTTTCCTTCTGTCCCACTCCCCACACCAATTCCCCCTTTCCTGCTTCTAGCAGTTCCCATACCCTCACCTTTCCTTGCTCCTTCCTGCTTACCAAGAACCTGTCTTATATCTGCTTCCTCCAGCACTAAAAAAAAAATTCCTAAAACTTGTAATTTTTTTTTTTAATGTCACCAGAACAGAGGAATTATGACCAGATAAGTGGCATTGCCATTATGAGTATTATAATCAGTGGACAAAATATTAATGGATTTGTTTAACTTAATTCCCTTTTCTCTAGTTATTTGCTTTCAAGAATTATTTCCTCTAAACCTTAATCGATGCTAGGGAAAATAAAACCTTCGTTCTTCTGTAGGTGTTGTCAGGCTTCCTGTGCAATTTCCACCGTTCAGTATATGATGATGAAAATGAGAAGTAGCAAATCAGCACACCAAAGACAGTGCTTTGTACACAAATTAATGTGTTTTGGGGTTATTTAAATTTTTACTTTGCAAGTGTTCCTGAGAAGAGGTAAACCCAAACCCACCAAGCATATTACTTGGTCTGTTCACAGAGAGATGAACCCAGGAGGTCATGCCTACAGGGCTAATGATACTATTGCATTATATTTATTTATTTCAATTTATATCCTGTCTTGCCAGACAAACTGGCTCAAGGCGGCGTACAGACATTAAAATGCAATAAAAAGATAAATACAATAAAATTTACATAAACATCATAAAGTGCTAATAAGAACAATACAGGTGATGGTGGCATTCAGTATACAATCCAATGGTGGAAGGCAGTATCCAACGGTGTGTCATAAGGGTTGTGAGATGTTCCGGTGACACATTCGTCAGTGGCGGCTCCTTGTTGATAATATCCCTGAGGGAACCTTGCAACCCCTCACGGTCAGCTTTTATAAGGCATGAAGGGCACAGATCAAGGCTGCACGTGGTTGAGCATACCGTTGAGAGCAGTCTCGACTTCCTCAAGGCTGAGTGGACTGAAATAATCCAGAACAGAACCAGAAGACGTGCATGGGACCTCGAGCACTCACTGTCTCAACTGTGGCAGGGAGATTGCGGCAGAGCAACAGGACTTTATCTGCAAAATGGCTTGCAAAAGCCTCACAGCCAATGTCCCAATTCCCTAGCATTTGGTCTGCCCTGTGGCAGCTCAGTTAACGACCGAATAGTTCTAAACAATTGTGCTGGGCGTGAGCAAGCAGACGCAACCGCGGCTTCGTAGAACTCTCTCTTCGCGGCTTTGACAGCCATCTCATAGGATCTCATTAACGTCCTATAGGATGCTCTTGTTGCTTCGTTGCAAGCGCGCCGCCACCATCTCTCTAGTCATCTGAGCCCTCATTTCATCAGCCGCAGCTTTTTGGTGAGCGAGGGTGCAGAGGGCATCGAGGAGCGATCTCTTTGATGGCTGCCAAGAGTTGACCATGCCAGTCCTCGACTAGCTCATCTAACGAGCCACCAGGGGGCCTAGGATCCCGCAGAGCCATCTGAGGCCACTGAGGGTCCATTGGGTTCCACAGGCGAGCCAAAATACACTCTCCGCCCAAACAGGGTCGGGGTGAAACATTCACATGGGCCTTCAGGGCATGATGTTCCGACCATGGCACTGCCAAAGCAGTGATCCAGTCCACTGTAACCCCCGCTGCGAAGATCAAGTCGAGCATATGCCCGGCCCGATGAGTGGCATTGGTGGCAATTCTAGATTGTGCTGCTAGTGAAAGCAAACTGTCCCACTGCTAATGTGAGAGCATTAACCTGTGATATGTAGTAGGCAAAGTATTGAGTTGGGATATAGGAGGCCAAGGCTGAATTGTTTTCTTGGCCATGAAGTTTGATAATGTGTCTTGAGTTGTATTTCTGCTGTATGGGTTCCCTTGTATTTTCTCCAATCTTTAAACACAAAATTATTTTCTGTGTGATTGCATCTGACACAATGGTCTATTAAAGGTGCATCAAAGTTTTTATTTCTAATTTTACTTTTGTGTTCAGTAATTCTAGTTCTTAATGTTCTCGTAGTTGCCCCTACATAATATTTTGGCATACACTTTTGATTAGATATATGTTTGGATGATGAACAGGCATATTTATGTCATTTGTAATGGCCTTTTATACTCATGTCCCTTTTGTAAACTTTATGTGCATCTATTTTAATTAATATCTTGCCTAGATTTGCTGTCCTTCTAAAGCCAATTTTAGGCTTTTCAGTACATCCTGGTACATCCCTAAGCAGGTGCCAGTGTTTTAACACTATCTGTTTGATCTTGCCTGCTAAGGTAGTGTGACGTGCCCCCCGGAGGCATTTCACTTCCAGATTTTTGCTGGCTCAGAGCCATTTAAATCCTCCAGATCTGCTCCCTGCCTTGGGGGGCGGCGGAGGATTAAATTGAGGGTTTAAATGGCTTGAATATATTTAAACCTAACAGCTGTTTTTTGTGAACAGCAAGAAGCTGGGGTTTAAATGGCTCAGAGCCATTTAAACCCTTGTTTCTGCTCTTCATGAACCACCAAGAACTGCATCAAAGTTCATGGAAGTTTGTGGCAGTTCGCATGTTCACAGGCATGAACACATGAACAACAAACTGACCAAAGTTCATCACGAACTTAAGTTCATAAGCTGATTCATGCCCATCCCTAATGGCTGCCACAAGAAGCCAAGCCTTATACAGAGAGGAAGCTCAAGTGCAGGGAAGACGAGGATTAATTAAAAAAATATATAACGGGAAAGAGGAGTGAGAGCGAATGAAACCAACAATTTAATTAGCACAGCCAGTCAAATCTCTAGTGGCGCAGCTGGACCCCACCCAGTTGTAGAGGGGATACTGAATGTAAAATCTCTGGCCATTGGTCCATATCTGTCATTCAAACTTGTGTTTTTTTCAGATGATAGTTTAAATTTTGGAATCAAAACTCTTGAAGAACTCAAGTCAAAAAAGCTGAAAGAAAAGTCAAAGAAGCAAGGCGGTGAGTTGGTTTTTCTATCCTTTTCCCATGCATTTTAAGACTTCTGGCCTTAAGCAGTAAGGTTTCCTCATGCCTAGATGCCAACATTCTTGCTATTTTGTATTGGAATGCAACAGCTGGGAAAAGTATGAAGGGCAGAAAAATGTGATTTCATAGTAATTTACCTTTTGTGGAACAGAATGGAGATCCAGTTTGGGTACCAACTTGTGTGTAGATCTGTGAAAGGAGTATGGATGTTGAGATTTAATTTCCCAAAATGTTAAGTCAAATGACTCCATAAGTCCAAGTATATGTGCAATTATGCTCATCAGCTTTTGGTGAGAAGCATGGATGTTTCAGTTGAATGTTTGGATGGTGTCCCACAGCCCCTTTTTTTGTCTGGTCTTCAGTGGAGCATGCTGATATTTTGATGGGTTGCTTTGCAACCTTTCAAGTTCTAAAGGCATTGCTTTTCCCTTATAACTAAGGGAATTTAAAAATAAAAATTTATAAGCCAAGATAATGTAATGAAACACAGTCTGATCATGTAGTGTCCAAGTCTCTTAATTCACCAGTTCTGACCAATTCTGTGCGCAGCTGAGTCAAAAGCTTAGTTTCTAAGGTTGCTTCTGCAACTTTTGTGTAAATCACTTAAACTTACAAGTAATTGATGGCTTAGTCCTACAGATTGCTTCGCATCAAATTAGTACTAGGCTGGAGCATGTCAACAGCCTTTCAGACTGGGACATTGTATCAGCATTACAGGGAGGTTCCTTCACCATTGCTTACAGGAATGTAGGATTTTCAGGTTGGTGTATATTCCTTTATGTAGTCATGCAACATCAATGGTGAGTTTTACCTAGTTCCTTTGTGTTACAGCAACTGACCTGTTCTTAATAATATGAGGTTTTAAATGTCTTTTAACGCTTTTAATACTGGATTAAAAAAACATTTTGATGATTTTTGCTTTGAGGTACCTTAAGCATCTTTATATGGCTTAAAATATTTTAAATAAATAACATGTGTTGAAACTAAGAGCGAGTTTGTGGCTGAGGAGGGCTTTCCAAGCTCATACTAAGTCCACCTTAGAAAAGTCATCTGAAGAATCCCTACCTTATAGATTACTATAAAGATATAAGGATTATTAGAGCCAGTATAGTATAATGGTTCAAGTGTTGTTGTTTTAGATGGGGACCATAGAATTAAGGGTTCATACTCCTTACCTGCCTGTAATCTTGCTGGATGACTTTGAACTAATCACAAGGTTGTTACACGGAAGATATGAAGAGAATCATGTACATAGCCTTGAGGTTTTTTGAAGGAAAGGTGGGATAAGAATAGAGTAAAATGTATATGGATTTCTTCAAGCGCTCAGAAGAGCACTATAGAAATGCTAAATAGTAATAAATAATGGAACTTAATATAGCTTTGTTCTGCTCTGATCAGACAACCCCCCTGAAGTTGCTCTCCAAGCCCAGACTCTCCCAGGCCCACAGAAGGAAAATGTACGAACTGTGGTCAGAACAGTGACATTATCTACAAAGCAAGGTAACTCTGCAGTGCTTATTAGTATAATTCTTTTTCAGGTGTACTTGCTCCCCATAGTTTATTAGTGAACTGATAACTCTTCTGTTGGTATGTTGCAAACTGGACTGATGTATTCCTGGAGAAGCACATTCTCAGAGTAGCACATGTTATTCAACAGACAGAGCACCTCACCACCTCTCCAAATACAAGGGGCTCAAAGAGACCTTTATATAACACAGAACACTGAGTTCTGTGTTAGGGGTGTGCACTCGGTATAAACTGAGTCGAATAAGTACCCGAAAAATACCTCATTGGTATTTTTGGGGTATTAATTCTGCCAAATACAGATAAGAGATCTGTATTCTGCTACCAATATAGCTGAGCCCCCAAAAAGCTGATTTGTTTTTGGGCTTTTATTCAGGTGACAGCTATACTGCGAGCCAGCCCTAGCCCAGGTGCCAGCTGATCCTCTCTTGCAGGGACTTGCAATAGATGTTGGTCACTTGAGCATAGTGCTGCTGTTCAGGGACATACTGGGAGAGGTGGTCCTGTTGGTACGTTGGTCCCTGATCAAGTCAAGAACAAAACCTTGAACCTGACCCAGTACCCAACTTGGAGCCAGTGCAACTGGCGAAGCATAGGTTGTATATATGTAGTTGTTGGTGTCCCCATAAGGATCTGGGCTGCTGTGTTCTGGCCAAGCTGTAAAATCTGGATCAGTTTCAAGGGCAGCCCAGTGTAGGGCGAGTTACAGTAATCAAACCTAGAGGTGACCATTGTGTGGATTACTGTGGCTAGGTTGGAACAAGACAGGTAGGAGGCAAGTTGCCTGACCTGGCGTAGTTGGAAGAATGGCAACATTTGTGACCTGAGCCTCCATTGACAGGGAGGCATCCAGGACCATGCCCAGACTCCCGACTATCTGTGCTATTGTTCAAGGCACATGGTCAAGAGCTGGGAGATGGCACCGCAAACCTGAGTCTCCCCCACCCAGCTAGAGAACCTCCATCTTAAACTGATTCAGTTTCAGCTGACTCTGCTTCAGGCACCTCACCACGGCCCCAACCCTTCAGCCAGGCTTCCTGAGGCAGCATCTGGCTTGGCTGTCCATCAGCTGATATAGCTGGGTGTCATCAGCATACTGGTGAAACCCAGCCCGAAACTCTGTGCAGCCTATTGATCCAGTACTAATTATCATTTGTTTATAGTTTAATAAGTTGGGCTTTGTGCAAATTATCTGGGCTACTATCTGTATGAGATTCCCCCCCTTTAAAAAATAGTTAGCTACTTGCATCTCACTCTTTGTTTGTTTTCAGGAGAGGAGCCTCGTATTCGGTTGACTCTTGCAGAGAGACTAGGAAAACGGAAAACTCCTATAGGTGAGAAGAGAAAAAGGGCCCTGTTGCCCTCTGCTATTGTACAAAAATCTTAGCATGCCAAATCTTTTTCCTTTTTTTGTAGCTGCACAAGTTCTTATAATGTAGTCATTTTTGTCTTGTATTTTTAAACCACAAAAAGCCTGTGCTGTTTATGGGACCAAGTAGAATGTTTGGCAGGGAGGGTTTTTATTACAATTGATATTTTAGTAGAGAGGTTTCATAAGATCAAGTCTGTTTCAGTTTATATCCCATTAATCTTCTGCTTGCATTTCAAAGCCCTTATTTGATCCAAAGGGTCACTTATATAAGTGAAAAGGAGTACCAGTTCACAGCAGAAGAAGCTGGTCTTTTTAGCTGGTGTGGTGTTTTTTTTTCATAATTTGGGTTTTTGCCTATTTTGCATGTTTAGTTTTTGGAACTGTAAGCTGCTTTGATCCTCAAGGGAAAGGTGGGGTATAAATATTTTAATAAATAACTAAAAACCCATGGAAATAAACTACTGGTTTTCTTTCCACCCTAAGTTGCCGAGAGTGGTCTTCCCTTAAAACGCAGCCTTGTTGAAAGACTGGGGAAAAAAATAGACTCTTTAGGCAATGCTGAGAAAACACCAAAGAGAGGTATGCCTGTTTCATTAGTAATATGCATTCCATGTATTACAGTTATAGAGAGATGTTTGTACTGAGATATAAGAAGTTCTTTTTTTGTTTTTAAATCACCTACTTTAAAAAAAGAACACACACCAGCACACATGTGATAGAGCTAGAAACCTGTTCTCTGTCATTCTAGTTTTTCTTGTAACATAGAACATCTGCTTCAAGAGAAGCTGTTTAAAAATATTAGTCCAGTTACTATTTTGGGTTTGACAAAGCCCTGGTTCTATAGTAAAACAACTCCAAATTTTGCATTTCAAGCAAATGCTTATATTCAAGCATAAATAGATGCTTTCACATAGATCTTTCAAATTAAAACCTGAAAATTTGCAAGTACTAAAGCATGCTGGAGAAAACGTTATGGAGATGGGTGACAAAAGTAAGATAGAGAGTAATGGATACCTTGCATTCATTCATGGTTCTTCCGGTAAATAACAAAATAGAAGACTGTTTTCTTTACTTTTTCTTTATGCAGTACAAGTTCCCAGATCTCTCAAAGAGAGGCTAGGCTTACCAGCTGAGCAGAACAATATGGAATCAGGTATTTTTTTTTAATACCCTAAAGTCCACTTTCTCAGTATTTTTTGCAGGTGGATTAGTCATAGGAGACTCAGTCTTTCTACTTTAACATTTTGCTTTTAAGCTTCTGTGCTTGCTTGTATTAGAAATCTTGTACTCAGCAGTTGTTATATGCTTTCAACATTCTGACTGAAAGTCTGCTTCAGTATACAGAAATCGGCCAAGGGTTGCAGTATGACCTGTACATGGCATTACCAAATTTGAGAGACACAAACCCCTTTAGGATTATATTGGCATATAAGCAAAAGATTATTTAATTACCTGGGTGATGTCCCATTTATGGAGCAATATAAAGGTATAATAGTAAAGGATTATGATTTTTTTAAAAAAAGATGGTTTCCTAAAGTGAGAGGTTTTTTCCCTTCCCTGATGGTGCAGATGAAATTCATGTGAAAACACTTGAAGAGATTCGCTTGGAGAAAACCAACCAAAGAAAAGGAGAAATTCCACCCAAGGGTGAAGTTTCTTGTACAACAGATGATCCCAATCCAGTGTCAAAATCCTCCCCTCCGATCAGGATCAAAACCTTTTCTGAAATCTTGGCTGAGAAGAAGCAGCGACAATTGGAAGAGGAGAGGATAAAAGCTGAAAAAGAGAGCCTTGGCAAACCAAAGCCTGACAGTGAGTCTCAGAAGCAGGGCTCTCTGGTTTCAGTTGTATCCCATAGAAGAAAACTGGAGGAGTCTTCTGGCAAAGCCAAGGACTTCAATGAGGTGCGCATCAAAACACTGGAAGAAATTAAGCAAGAGAAGGCTCTCCGCATGCAGCAGAGTGGGGAAAACGTCTCTGGGAAAAGATTGCTCTGCATTACAAAGCCAACAGGTAGAGCCTACATGCCTTATCTGGCAGCTTTTTACTTTTGAATATTCATCCTGTGATCAATTTCTTTGTTGAAGCCAGTGATGGTGTAGAAGGACAGGCACAAAGATAACCTTCCTTCTGGGTTATTGCAAATTAGGATATAGGAATGTCATGCTTGCAGTGCTGGGGGTGCCAAGGGTGGAGACAGACAAACTTACCCATTGCTGTTTTCCCTTCCTTTCTCATTCTAGTGGTCAAACAAGATGTTAGGAGGACAATACAATGTTCCCAGTCCCATTTTTCCCTTCACAATGCTAATGTGCAGGTTGAGGGGCATTTGAATGGGTGAATAGGAGTTAGGTCGTTAACTGCTCAGTGGGCAGTATCAGTCAACCCTATCAGTTTTTAATTCCTCTCCACCCCCAGCAAGGCTACAGGGCAGCGTTCAGCATTTTCAAGGGCAGAGGACTCAACTCTGGAAGTACCGAGGGATTTGCTGGGCTCTAGAGACTTGCTGCTGAAATGGCTTGTCCACTTAAGAATGTGATATCGCATAAACTGGGGAGGACAAGTTTGTTGTCCAGTATGTTTATGCTGGGAATAAACAAGTGACGTACAGCCTGGCCCACAAGTGGTGGAGAAAGGTCAGGTTACTTGAGCACTGCAAGAAGTTGCCCTTGCTCTGATACGTAGACCTTTGTGAACTGTGGCTGTTAGATTACATTGTTGTAATCAAAGACAGTAGACAACAGAGTGTAGTGGTTCTGCTCTGATGGTGTAGACTGCAAACCGGCAGTCATTGGCAGAACTGATTCTTCACTTAGAATTAACAATAATGTGTTTAACAGCCCCTGGAAGGGAAGAAAAGAAGCTTCTGGAGCTGAAGACCTCTACCAGAACGTCCTTAGCAGATGCCCCTGCAAAGGTAAGTCTTCCATTACACCCCATAAGGCATTCTGCATATTAGAAACAGGGGCCTTGGTAAGGCTATTTGTTCACTTTCTAGAATACCTAGCATCCTAGAAAGCACTATTCAGTATCTAAGTCTAAAGGGGAAGGTAGTAATTCCATTAGTCTAAAGGTCTAAAGCAAAATCCAAAGTAAAAGCCATGCAATATTTTTTATTGGGACCAACCAGAATAATAGAACCATCTGTAAGCTTTCAGGTTCTCCAGAACTCTTCCTTAGGCTGGAAGGAGTGGGGGAAGAAAAAGGATGTCTTGGGACATGATCCTTAAGGTCTCATCCTGTAAGAATTCTATGTGCAAAGCTGTACAGGTGTGCTGAGTTTAAATGGTGCTGGTGTCTGGTTGAACCTATGGCCTTCTGGAATGAAATTGCTGATTTTTGTGTTTTCAGTTGGATGCTTCCAATTTTTTGCTGCTTAATCCCAGAAGGCTAAGGATGGAACGAGCACTGTTTTGATTTGATTGATTTGATTTATCAGATTTGTATCCTGCTCTCCCTGTGTTTAGGCTCAGAGCAGGAAATATCATTGATTTAAAAAATTGAATAATATATAATAAAATACATATTATAAACCAGCACATAATTAAAAGATGGCTTAAAACTCAGGGGGAGTGATGTATAATCTGTTTTATATGAAAGTAAGGCTTTACAAATAGCAGAGGAAAGAAGGAAAGCGAAAGGCAAAGGCGAAAAGGAAAGATTTACCCAACTGAATGCAGATTTCCAGAGAACAGCAAGGAGAGATAAGGAGGCCTTCCTGAATGAACAGTGCAAAGTAATAGAGGAAAACAATAGAATGGGAAGGACTAGAGATCTCTTCAAGAAAGTTGGAGAAATCAAGGGAGCGTTCCATGCAAAGCTGGCCATGATAAAGGACAAAAACGGTAGGGACCTAACAGAAGCAGAAGAGATTAGGAAAAGATGGCAAGAATACACAGAAGAACTATACAAGAAAGACCTCGATGTCCTTGACAACCATGACGGTATAATCACTGACCTCGAGCCAGACATCCTGGAATGTGAAGTTAAATGGGCCTTAGAAAGCATTACTAACAACAAAGCTAGTGGAGGTGATGGTATCCCAGCTGAGCTATTCAAAGTCTTAAAAGATGATGCTGTTAAAGTGCTGCACTCAATTTGCCAGCAAATTTGGAAAACACAACAGTGGCCACAGGATTGCAAAAGGTCAGTATACATTCCAATCCCAAAGAAGGGCAATGCCAAGGAATGTTCAAACTATCGCACAATTGCACTCATATCACACGCTAGCAAGGTCATGCTCAAGATCCTACAAGCTAGGCTTCAACAGTACGTGGATAGAGAACTACCAGAAGTACAAGCTGGGTTTCGAAGAGGTAGAGGAACGAGAGATCATATTGCCAACATTCGCTGGATTATGGAGAAAGCAAGAGAGTACCAGAAAAATATCTACTTCTGCTTCATTGACTATGCTAAAGCCTTTGACTGTGTGGATCACAACAAACTATGGCAGGTCCTTAAAGAGATGGGAGTACCAGACCACCTCACATGTCTCTTGAGAAACCTGTATAAGGGCCAAGAAGCGACAGTTAGAACCGGATACGGAACAACTGATTGGTTCAGCATAGGAAAAGAACTGGATATGGAACAACTGATTGGTTTAGCATAGGAAAAGGAGGAAGACAAGGATGTATATTGTCCCCTTGCTTATTTAATTTATATGCAGAGTACATCATGTGAAATGCCAGCCTGGATGATTCAGAAGCTGGAATTAAGATTGCTGGGAAAAACATGAACAACCTTGGATATGCAGACGATACCACTCTAATGGCAGAATGTGAAGAGCACCTAAAGAGCCTATTGCTCAGGATGAAAGAGGAGAGCGCAAAGGTTGGCTTGAAACGCAACATCAAAAAAACTAAGATCATGGCATCCGGCCCCATCACTCCTTGACAAATAGAAGGGGAAGTCATGGAAGCAGTGTCAGACTTCACGTTCCTGGGATCCAAGATCATTGCAGACGGTGACTGCAGCCATGAAATTAAAAGACGCCTGCTCCTTGGGAGGAAAGCGATGGCAAACCTTGACAGCATAATAAAAAGTAGAGACATCACCCAGCCAACAAAAGTCCTTATGGTCAAAACAATGGTATTCCCAGTAGTCATGTATGGCTGCGAGAGTTGGACTATAAGGAAGGCCGAGCGCCTTGAGAGTCCCCTGGACTGCAAGTAGATCAAATCAATCCTAAAAGAAATCAACCCTGACTGTTCCCTGGAAGGCCAGATACTGAAGCTGAAGCTCAAATACCTTGGCCACCAAATGAGAAGGGAGCACCTACTGGAGAAGACCCTGCTGCTGGGAAAGTTTGAAGGTCAAAGAAGAAGGGGACAACAAAGGATGAGATGGTTAGACAGTGTTATTAAGCAAACTCCGGAGCACGACGGAAGACAGGAGGGCCAGGCGTGATAAGGTCCATGGGGTCGCGAGGAGTTAGACTTGACTGTGCGACTGAACAACAACAGAAGGAAGAAGAGGGGGAGAGAGGAGGAGGATGATCAAAGATGGAACCCATCACTGTCCTCAACTGTAGGCCCAGCAGAACAACTCTGTTTTACAGGCCCTGCGGAACTGTTATCAGATCCTGCAGGGCCTGGATCTCAGTTGGAAGAGTGTTCCACCAGGCTGGAGGACAGCTGGATGCTCTTTGGGGGTATATCAGGAGAGGCGGTCCCAAAGGTATGCTGATTCCAGACCATGTAGGGCTTTTGAAGGTAAACACCAAAACCTTGAACCTGATCCGGTCTTCAGTCTGGAATCAATGCAGCTGGTAGAGCACTGGTTGAATATGCGCTCTAAAGGGTGTCCCAGTAAGCACCTGTGCAGCTGCATTCTGGACCAGTTGTACTTTCCAGGTTAATCTCAAGGGTAGCCCTGCATCGAGCGAGTAACAGTAATCCAACCTGGAGGTGACAGTTGCATGGATCACTGTGGCTAAGTCAGAGGGAGACAGGAAAGGAACCAACCGTTTAACCTGGCACAGATGGTAGAATGCCAGTTTGTACATTTGTAACCTGGGCCTCCAATGACAAGGAGGCATCCAGGATCACACCCAGGCTCCTGACGGTTGATCTGGGTGTTAATGGCACACTGTCAAGAGCCAGGAGTCGGCACCTCAGTCCTGCATCTCCCTAGACCAGCCACAGGACCGCCATCTTTGACGGATTTAATTTCAGCCACTTTAACCAACTAACCACGGTCTCCAGACCCCTGTCCAAAATCTCTGGGGCTGCATTTGGCTGGCCGCCCATCAACAGATACAGCTGGGTGTCATAAGCATACTGATGATACCCAAGCCGAAAACTCTATGTCAGCTGGGTGAGGGGGTGCATAAAGATGTTAAATAGCCCGTAGCTATGGTGGGGCATCTTGGAGCCATGCCCCTTTAATTACATGCCACAGCCCACAAAACTCTTCAAACTCTTCGAACCCAATCCTGCCTGCACTGCCTTCTTCTCTTCCAGGCTCCAGCTGGCCAGTCTACCACATTCTCTAGCCATGTGATTTGTGCTCGCCCTCTCTAGCTGGCCGGTGCGCCCACCTTCTCTGTCTGACAGACTCCTCTTCCTGAATCGCCCTCCCATTAGCCAGCCAGTTCAGTCTTCTCCTGACTTGCTTACTGACACCCTGTGACCTGCCTCACCTGCTCCGTCCGCCCTACGCCAGCAGCTGGTGTGACTAAACTCGCTTGGCTGACCTGCAGGAGAACAGTGCACCCTGCCCGTGATTAGCTGGTCCTGCGCCTTCTTCTACCCCGTCTGTCCCTCCACCCAGCCCTGGCTTTGGAGGAGCCAGATCCTGCTTCCAAAGACTTCCCTCCCATGCCCGGGGGAAGGGGGAAGAACACCCTGATTGAGTAAACTCTTAGGTTGCCTGCCGTGCACTCCACTGGGCGAGCCTTGGGAGGGTGTGCTTGGATTCAGTCAGCCAAAGCATTGGGCTCTTCTCAGCAGTGAGTCGAAGAATCTCAGTGTGGCTGGGATGTAGCAAATGCAGAATTGGCTTCCTTCCCCCCCCCCACCCTCCCCTGCTGATTCACTCATTGCTCCTGTGTTGCAAGTGGAGAAAGCTTGCAGAGTAGCTGCAGAGGGCGATGAGGGACGGGGCTGTTCAAAAGAGGAAGACCTGGGCAAAATACTGAGACCCCTAATTAATGTTGCAAGTGGAGAAAGCTTGCAGAGTAGTTGCAGAGGGCGATGAGGGACAGGGGGCTGTCCAAAAGAGGAAGACCTGGGCAAAATGCTAAGACCTCTAATTAGGTTACTGTTAATTAATTTCCCCGCTCCCCTGCCCCAGCACCCAGAAATTTCTGGCTATGGGCCTGAATAACACTGGGGGGAGGATTGCCCCTGCGGGACACCACACACTAAAGGGTATCCTGGTGAGACCCTCTCCCCTAGCGCCACCCTCTGTACTCGATCTTGGAAGAAGGAGACAAACCACTGTTAGGCTGTCCCCTGAATCCCCACATCAGCAAGGTGGTGAGTCAACAGGTCATGATTGACCGTGTCAAATACTGCTTGCAAGTCAAGTAGAAGCAGCAGTGCTGACTCACCTCAATCCAGCTGTCTGCACAGGTCCTCTGAGAGAGCGACTGGTGCTGTCTCCTCGTGGTGAGGGCAGAACCCGGATTGGAAGGAGTTGAGGGCCGAAGTGTCATCCAGGAAACTCTGAACCTGCTCCGCTACTGCTCTCTCAACTACCTTACCCAGGAACGGTAAGTTTGATACCAGGCAGTAGTTGGATAGATCATTAGGATCTAAAGGTGGCTTTTAAAAGAGCAGTCTAACCACTGCTTCTTTTATTCTCCCTGGGAAGACCCCTGAATTCAGGGATAGATTTACAGTATCCACCAGGGGAGCTCGCGTTCCATCACCACTAGCTTTTACCTGTGATGATGGGCACAGGTCAAAGAGGCAAGTGGTGGGCTTCACAGCATTGAGGATCCTCTTGACCTCAGCCCGCAAGAGCTGGCTGAATTGGTGTAATAATGGACCAGAAGACGGCCAAGGGACCTCCAGTTTCCATACTGTATCAATATTGGCTGGCAGATCCTGGCGGAGCAACAAGACTTTATCCGCAAAAAAGCTTGTATAATCCTCACAGCTAATAGCTGAATTTTTCTGTGAGAGAAGTTTGAGATTTTTCTGTGAGAGAAGTTAGCGACCTTATTACCCTAAACAATTGTCAGGCGAGAGCTAGCGGATGCAATGGAGCTATCCACACCAGACCAACACTATCAATTTCAGAGTGTCCTGAAAGGACATTTTAAGTTGGTGTATCTCTCACCTTTCCACGCAGGATGCTTACAGGGTAAGAACTTAAGATCATGGCCCGAGACATTTTTTTCTTCCTCTTCCCCTTGTATTTTCAACATCCAGCCTAATCAAAAGTTCCGAAGAAGTTGAAAGCTTGCATACTGTGTTATTTTGGTTGGTCCTGCAAAAAGGTATTAAATGGCCCTTGCTTTAAAATTTACATCAGGAATGGTGACAACAGAGCTCCACAGAGCTGCATTTCTTATCTTATTGACTTTGTTTAGACCTCATTAGCTGAAGTCTAAAATCTGTTAATATTTTGACATACCATGGTATGCTACTTGACATGTCATTGGGCTGTATTTGTGGTACAGGTATGTTTTTATTTATTTATTTAATTTGATTTATATCCCGCCTTATCCGGCAAGCAGGCTCAGGGCAGGTTACAATATATAAGTTAACAACCATTAAAAACATTAAACATAAAAACTAGATAAGTTTAAAATGAACAGGTGATAGCAACAATGGCAACAAGACAGAGAATTCAGATGCTTCTTACGTTTGGCAGTCTTTTAGCAGGATCATTTGGGACGAAACACAGTGACAAAGATTGTGTACAGGGGAGGCCGGCATGATTGGATGTCCTCCCCCTGGCAGAAGGCCTGGCAGAACAGCTCTATTTTGCAGGTCCTGCAGAACTATGATAGATTCCTGAAGGCCCTGATCTCAGGTGGGAGTGTGTTCCATCAGGTGGGGGCCAGGGCAGAAAAGGCCCTGGCTATGGTTGAGGCGAAGCGGACATCTTTCGGACTGGGGACTACTGGGAGATGTTGGTCTGCAGAGCACAAGGCTCTATGGGGCATATACAGGGAGCGATGGTCCCGTAGATATGCTGGTTCCTGTCCACATAGGGTTTTGAAGGTTAATACCATAATCTTAAATCAGATCTGGTATTTAATTTGGCACCAGTGCAACTGGCGCAGCATTGACTGAATTCGCACCCACACCAGCATTGCTGTCAGCCATGTGCACCATGGCATTTTGCACTAGCTGCAATTTCCAGGTCAGATTTAAGGGCAGCCCCACGTAGAGCGAATTGCAGTAATCCAGCCTGGAAGTGACCCTTGCATGGATCACAGTAGCTAAGTCCCCGGATAAGAGATAGGAAACCAGTTGCCTGACCAGGCGAAGATGATAAAAGACTGACCTGGCAACGGTGGTGACCTTGGGCCCCCATGGAAAGTGAGGCATCCAGAATCACCCCCAGGCTCCTCACCTTTGCTGCTGGTGCCAGTGGCACCCCACCAAGCATTGGGAGTGGGATTTCCAATCCCAGTCCCCCATGACTCAGGGGCAGGACCTCCATCTTCATTGTATTTAGTTTCAGCCAGCTCTGCTGTAACCAGCCATGGCCCCTAATGCCCTGTCCAAAACATCTGGGGCTGAGACTGTCCATCAACAGACTGTCCATCAACAGTTGGGTGTTATCAGCATACTGGTGACAACCCAGCCCAAACCCCCAGACCAGCTGGGCAAGGGGGTGCTTATAGATGTTAAACAGCATTGAAGAGAAGATGACCCCCTGCAGTACGCTGCATTCCAGTGGGTATTGTAGATACAACCTCTCTCCAAGTGCCACACTCTGTCCCTGACCATGGAGGAAGGGGGAAAGCCATTGTAAAGCAGTCTGTTGTATCCCAGTATTGGTGAGGTGGTGGGTCAGAGGGTCGTAATTGACCATGTCAAACGCTGCCGTGAGATTAAGAAGCAACAGCAGTGCCGACCTGCCTCGATCCAGGTGTCTCTAGAGGTAATCTGTGAGGGCTACCAACATGGTCTCCACCCTGTGGCCAGGGCGGAAGCTGTACTGGAATAGATCCAGGATAGAGATGTCATCCAAGAAGACTTGAAGCTACTCATCCACCGCTCTCTCAACCACCTTGCCCAGAAACAGTGGATTCGATACTGGGCGGTAGTTGGCAAAGGACCAATAGGGTCTGTTGATGGCTGTTTAAAGAGCAGACGCACCACTGCCTCTTTCAAACCCACTGGGAATATCCCAGAAGACAGGGATAGATGGATTATATCCCCCAGGGGAACCTGAATACCATCTCCGTAAGCCGTGACCAACCAATATAGGCACAGGTTGAGGAGGCAAGTGGTGGGCTTTACAGCTGCCAGGATCTTGTCTACCTGTTCCTGGGAGAGCTGACTGAAATGGTCCAAAAATGGACCCGAAGACGGACAAGGGGCTTCCAGTCCTCTTACTATCAACTGGCCAGGATGTTCTGTTGGAGTGACAAGATTTTGTCTACAGAACAGCTTGCAAATGCTTCACAGCCAATAGCCAATTCCTTATCATTTTGCTTGCCTTGTGGCAAAGAATTTAAAGACTGGATTGTCCTAAACAGTCGGGCTGGGTGAGGGCTTGCAGACACAATGGAGGCTGCGTAGAAATTCTTCTTAGCAGCCTTCACTGCTATCTCCTAGGCTTTCACAAACGTCCTATAAAGTGCTTTTGCAGCTTTGTCATGAGCACACCGCCATACTCGCTCTAGCAGTCTCAGCTCTAGTTTCATCCTCAGTAGCTCCGGGGTATACCATGGGACTACTTTGGCACGAGGGTAGAGAGGGTGCTGGGGAGTGATTTCGTGGATGACTTTGGAGACTTGGTTATGCCAATCCTTCACTAGCTCATCCAACAACTCACCAAGGGGTATCGGATCCCGCAGAGCGTTTTGGAACCCGCTAGCGTCCATTACTCCAGCCTAGGAGTGTGCCATGGTGGATGTAAAAGGCAAATAAATTTGGAAACCCTTGTCCTGCGACACTACACTGGGCTAGACAACATGGGAAGTAGTTCAGCGTCTTGCAGTGTGTATTTCCTATTTCAAAATGTGCACTAAATGTTATTTACATAGTTATATATGTTTCTTGTGATATTTTGTTCTGTACTATCAGATTTATTAAGCCTCTTTGAATTCAGGCCTCCACAGTTAATGGTTATCAGTCTATTCAGTTGAAGCCACATTGTGTATCGTTACGCTTCCACCCAGTTAACTCTTGCTCTGATCAAGGGACATCAAGTGCTGTCTCTTCATAGTTTCTGCAGATGCAGAGTAATTCTAGAGTAAAGATAATAAGTCTGGCTCCCATTATAAGAACCTGCAAGCGGAGGAGAACGTTCATGTTCATTGGGGACCTTTTCTCACCCTTTATTCCTCTGATTTCCAACTAGCCTTTGGATTGCAGTGCCAGCAATTCACATTCTAAGGTCTATGTGAAGAGCTTAGAAGAGATAAGGAAGGAAAAGCAACGGATAAAACAGCAACAGGAGAGGAACCCCCTTGAGGAACAAGTGACCGTACCACCTACCGGGGAAGAACAAGCAGCAGGGAAGGCCCCGGTGACTACGAGTCTGGAGTCCCCAGTGACAAAAGAAAAAATCCGTCCCGTCACAAAGAAATTGTCGGTGAGGTCCCAGGAAGCAATGCCAGACGATGCGGGACCAGAAGATTTGGGCCTTTCCACTCACCCTATGGAACACAGAGCTAAAGGTAAACAGCCTTTTTTTTTTTTACAGTAACTGGAGTAAAAAAAGGAGGCTGGCTTTCCTAAGAGGTAGAAAGAAGCATTTTTAAGTACTAAAGTCTAGATGGTTCATATTTTTTAAGCTTTAAACTCTTCATGGAAAGAGCTGTGC